AAGAATAAAATGGGGAACCACTCCCCACCCTCCGCTTCATAATGCTTAATTGACGTAATCAACTTTAATTTAATGCATGTGTTTAAAAAAGTGCACAGAAATTAGTTATTTTTCTACAATAATTAAATAGATTCAACATCTTTCCTTAACAGAATTGCAAACTGCACAGATGGTATTTTCCCAAAGGAAAAAGTACTATAGCTTACTAAGTTATCAATTTGACTTAATAGTTCCTATATACAATAATGGACTTCTATACATTTTACATCAGATGAAAAGATTCAGATAATTATTTATTAAGAGCTAGACATGACAATTAGAAAGAAAAGTATGTCTTTGTGCCCCCTTTTCCTGTTCATGCCCTGTTCGGCCCCCCTGGCTAAACTTTGCTAGACCCGCCCCTGCACAGTTACCAGCCATCAGCTACGTAGAAAAAGATCCTGGTGTAGAAAGTAATATTAAATAAATTCTAACAACAGCTTATCAAGTTTAAACGTGCTGCAGTTGTTTATCCACTGGTTTCCTCTTTCTGGGGCAAAGTGGGCGATAAACAAACAAGAGAGACGGACTCGCGACAGAAAAGCTGATCAGCTGATCATTAATCAGGTTCATGATTGAAGTAGCAGCAGGAAAGAGAAGAGGCAGTCGCTCCATATATCAGTTATTAAGCTTAAGTGAGAATGCTTTACAAACCTTACAGTCTGCATTCAGAGTCAAACGGTATGTGTGTGTTTTAACGACTGAAAATGTGACAATCAAAAATGATAAAGCCATTAATCTACCAGCATTGCTCCAATACTATTTCAGTTGGAAGTTCATATACAGGGAGTGCAGAATTATTAGGCAAGTTGTATTTTTGAGGAATAATTTTATTATTGAACAACAACCATGTTCTCAATGAACCCAAAAAACTCATTAATATCAAAGCTGAATGTTTTTGGAAGTAGTTTTTAGTTTGTTTTCAGTTTTAGCTATTTTAGGGGGATATCTGTGTGTGCAGGTGACTATTACTGTGCATAATTATTAGGCAACTTAACAAAAAACAAATATATACCCATTTCAATTACCGTAATTGTCGGGCTATAAGTCGCTACTTTTTGCACAAGCTTTGAACCCTGCGGCTTTTAGTCAGGTGCGGCTTTTCTATGGATTGTCCGTGATTTTTGTCATATCGTAAGACGATTTGTTTTGTTTGTTCCGCTGTTGTACGGCACTACGCTCTCTGCCCTTTACCGATCCAGCCACGGGCCCATCCATCTGGCCCATCAAGACTCACTCTCATTTCATCAGTCCATAAAACCTTAGAAAAATCAGTCTTGAGATATTTCTTGGCCCAGTCTTGACGTTTCAGCTTGTGTGTCTTGTTCGGTGGTGGTCGTCTTTCAGCATTTCTTACCTTGGCCATGTCTCTGAGTATTGCACACCTTGTGCTTTTGGGCACTCCAGTGATGTTGCAGCTCTGAAATATGGCCAAACTGGTGGCAAGTGGCATCTTGGCAGCTGCATGCTTGACTTTTCTCAGTTCATGGGCAGTTATTTTGCGCCTTGGTTTTTCCACACGCTTCTTGCGACCCTGTTGACTATTTTGAATGAAACGCTTGATTGTTCGATGATCACGCTTCAGAAGCTTTGCAATTTTGAGACTGCTGCATCCCTCTGCAAGATATCTCACTATTTTTGACTTTTCTGAGCCTGTCAAGTCCTTCTTTTGACCCATTTTGCCAAAGGAAAGGACGTTGCCTAATAATTATGCACACCTGATATAGGGTGTTGATGTCATTAGACCACACCCCTTCTCATTACAAAGATACACATCACCTAATATGCTTAATTGGTAGTAGGCTTTCGAGCCTATACAGCTTGGAGTAAGACAACATGCATGAAGAGGATGATGTGGACAAAATACTCATTTGCCTAATAATTCTGCACTCCCTGTATAAGACACACTGTGACATTATATCACAACAGGTTGCCTTTGCAGGAGTTTTTTTTTTTTTTAAGTGTGATTTTTATAGCAGCCTGGCATCATTTTCAGGTGATTTAATGAAGGTCTATGCTGGGATGGCTGTGTGTAATGCTGCTGAAATCTGGTGTGGCGCTAGTCAAACTTTAGATGTGGTAGATTTATGCACGTCCTGCTGGCGTGACATTGCTGCAGAGATTCAATAAACTGAAGGATAAGCTTGCTTTGCTGTACAAAGCATCTGTGGAGTTTTAGAATCACTCATATTAATATAGATGTGGACAGATTTATTGACAATGACGCTTCAACTGCAGTACACATTAATTTTTAATGTCGAATTAAAGGGATACACTGGCAGGGGAATGATTCGTTAAAATATCTTCTTTGTATTTCAGGCACAGTTTTGTTGCTCGTCCAAGTTTTCATCTTATCTTTGTTCATCAACCTCTGAAGTACCAGCGGTGTGGCATTGCTCAAAAAAGCAGATATGATTTTACACATGGTTCATCAACATTTCTACAACTCACTTTGCTTTGCTGCTTCATCCACCTGTGAATATTCCACCTGTTTGTGTCTCTCTTCACACCTGTGCACTCTGTGCCTGCTACCAAAATACCTCACAGATGCTTTAAGTAAACATCAGTGTCACGAAAATACCAAACTGTGCCACCACAAAACAAGCCCTTTGGATTTACTGAGGCTGTATTTATCCTCATCTTACTGAACTCCAAGTTTCCCAAGACAACTACATGGAAAATTAGCCCATATCCTCTCTGGGTCTGCTAATATATGGATGCAAAGTGACTCGTAAAATGCTGCCGGGAGTGTTATGATTAAGTCGGCTATGCTTTAATTAGGGCAAATCCCACTCACCCACCTGGAGTCAAATGGTCTATTACCAGGGGATAGAGTATGAGAGAAGTTCATTGCTTTCAGTTTGATAGCTACCTGATAGCCGCCGTTAAAGATGATCGGTGTACTTGATCTGAACGAAAATAATACTCGTTTGAGTAAAGTCCTGAGAAGAATTAAGTACAAACTTCTAGGACTTAAGGAGGTAAGTAGCAGCCGTGGGCTGCCATTCAAATGCAATTGATTAATTGATCATCAGCCAGTGTGAGCACCTCTATAAAAGCTGAAGTTGCCAGACCATGAAATGCTCAGAAAAACTGCAAAAAATCCAAGAGCTACATCTCAGACTCTGCATGCCTCGAATGGCATATTAAATATTAAAATTCACATTGTACAATTAGAAAAAGAACAAGTATGTTTAGAAGACAGGGCATTTTCTGTGTCAAATCTTACAAAGAAAAGTTGCTTCTGGTCAAATCCCAAGACTTCTAGAATAATGTTTATTTGACAGACGAGACCTAATGCACATCGGCAACCAAATGTCGAGCACAGTAGCAGAGGGGTGACGACTTGGAATTGTTTTGCAGCCACAGTACAAATCCCGTTCAGTCTTCCCGTTACTTTGATTCACTTAACCTAACATTAGCAATCAGGATAATCGCTTGCACGGAGCTGATTATCAGCTTGCTAAGTTAAACCCATGGTTTCCACAAGGTTTGCACATTCACGTGAAGAGGGTGGTGATGGCAGCATTTCATCAATGGCAATTATGGATCAGTGTAGACTGACATTAGAGCAGCATATTTTACAAAGGAACATGAAACTATAGCATTAGGGGGAAAATGAATAGGTTAAAGACATAACACAGACTGAAAATAACATAGGTGCTTCAAACAAATCAGCGGTGCATGTGTGAGAAGAAAAGGACTTTACAGTAATTTAGTATTAAATGTTTTGTGCGAATGTGTGTGTGTTTGAAACATTCAGTGAAAGTGGAAAAGAGCTGCTACATTAATACCAACTGTGTAAGTTAGGAGACTTATCAATATCATAACTCTATCATTAAGAAATATATATACATATATTGAAAATGAGTATTTAATTAATGTTAGACAGTTTAAGTTTTTGTTGTTACTTAGCAACCTTGGTTGTGTTTAATCCAATTAAGAATGAATATAAAAGCAGATTTCAATTGCAGCCTTAGTCTGCATATAGATTTGAAATAAAGTACAAACAGAGGTCCTAATGTAGGATAATATATTACTGCTTATTTCATAAGAATAACATTTTTACAACTGGAAAACTCAAAGTATAAAACAGCAAGATTTTAGATTGAAAGAGCTTCCTACTATCCATGCAAACACCCGGGAATGGTAATGCTTTTCTGGAGAACTGGAGGCTCAATAGATGGTGATTTCATACCTGATGATCCCTGATATGGAACCTGATTAGGGATCTGCTCTTGAGCAGGTTACGTTACCAGCATAACTTACCATGATGAGAGTTTTGTTTTTGTAGTACAGAAAACCCAGGGCCAGTCTGACATTACCTGGATATGAGAAAATACTGCTTCATAGTACAGGTCTTGGGCAGCTTGCAGTCATGCATCATGCAACAGCTAAAGCTTGGCCCAAACTGGGTCATGAAGGAGAATTATTTTGAGCGCAGCAGCAAATCTACAACAGAATGGGTGAAAGTGAAAAGAATCAAGGTGTTACAGTGACCCAGTCAAAGTCCTAACCTCAGCCCCACTGACATGCTGTGGCAGGCTTGCATAAAGACTAACCTCGTTTAAGGAAAAAATTCTCCACAACCATGAGCGAGACTGATAAAGTCACACAGAAAGTGTCTCCTTCAAATTATTGATGGTAAAGGTGGTTCTACAAACTACTGAATCAGGGAGTGTACTCAAGTTTTCACAGGACTCTGCAGTCCTGTGAAAACTTTTTTTTTCACACGACTGTATAAGGACACTGAATATTTAGGCTCATGCTGCATTGCAGGATCAAACTTTCTAAATGTTGTTGACTTTCCTTAACTTTTTGGCTATATATCCTAATTTTAAAAATGCATTTAAAGTACCATTTCCTTGGGAGATTCTTTCCTTCAATATGAGTAATTCTCTGTCTCTCATGTTTTTCTTTTCTTTCTTTCTTTCTTTTTTCCATGTGTGTCTTACCGGCAGGCTTATTAAACCTGGAGCAGCTCCTCAGGCAGTTCCTCATCTCCAAGGAGACTCTGTCTGTGCGCATGCTTGATGACAGCCAGGACCCGACCCCACTCCTAAAGGAGATTCGAGATGACAAGACTCCCACCATAATAGTCGATGCCAATGCCACAATGTCACATATCATTTTGGAGCGGGTTAGTATGGGACACACGATAGCCGTGATCTGTATGCACTGATAACGCTTCTCTTTATTCCGTGCCTGCGGTCTGGGATTAATACCACTCCACATTCATATAAATCTCAAAAAGTGAAAGCGAGGGAAGAACGCCGGTGGCAACAATTGTTCAAGGATAACTGTTCAACTTTCTCCAGTATTTGGAGAAAGTTGGAAAAGTTTTAAGTCGTTTAGTGTTGAATTGCAAGATGGATGATAAGAATTTGTGTTTAAGTGGGCACAGGTTTTCAAAGACAGAGTTATGCTCAAAATCTAAGCCTAAATTAAAAAGGAAATGAACGCAAGCGATATTGCCAAACAAGCACGTCCTTTCAAATTACTGCACATGTAGGAGTGCATAAAATCCAGTCGTATTCCAATGACTGAGTGTCGAGAAGTAAGATTTCACCAAATGTTTTGCAGGTTAGTTTAAGAACAGACTCATAAGACAAAGGCCTTTTCTCCACTTTTGTACCTTTCATTCATTTTATTTAAAGTGTTTTTTCTTTAAGACAGTGTATCACATGAAGTGAATTGATTATCTACTGGTTCCTCCTCTTTTACATAAACAGAGAAAAAACGACTGACAACACCAGTGAGTGCAGTTTCTGTCAGAAGCATATCAGTGTGACCTTTGCGTGGTTTCTTTGCTAATGGCACATACCAGTAATTAATGCTGTGGAACATTAATACGACCTTAGACACGTTTACTTTAATGTGCAGTGCTGTGAAAAAGTATTTTCCCCCTTTCTGATTTCTTTTCTTTCTTTTTTCTTTTTTGCATATTTGTCACAATTAGATGTTTCAGATGTTTTCAAATATTTTGCTTTTACATTTTGCAAAGATAACCTGAGTAAATGCAAAATCCTGTTTCTTAATGATGATTTCATTTATTAAGGCAGTCTATCCAAACCTACATGGCCTTGTGTAAAAATGATTTGCTCCCTTGACCTAATATTTAGAATTAGGAATTTAGAACTGCAGTCGAGCATTTGTAATAAGTGGCGATGACTCTTTGACATCACTGTGGAGGAATTTTGACCGGCCTGTGTAACCATCTCAATCTAATTTAAGTCTGGATTTTGACTAGGCCACTCCAAAATGTTATTTAATTTTGTTTTGTTTTATTTTATTTTAGCCATTCAAGTGGCATTTAGCTTCACAAACCCCTTCAGGCTTTCCTGGTGCAGAGCAGAATTCATGGTTCCATCAATTACAGCAATAATTGACCAACACATTACCTCCACCCTGTTTGAGTGTTGGTGTGATGTTCTTTTTATGGCATGCTGTTAGTGTTAAGCCAAATGTAACAGGACCTTCCAAAAATGTTTAGCTTTTGTCTCATCAGTCCAGGATATCCACCAGATGGTGGATCCCCAAAACAAGCCTTTGTGTTCTGTTGAGTCAGCAGTTTCCCCGTGGAGCTCTGCTACGGATGCTGTTTTCACGCTTCTTATTGTTGAATCCCAAATTCTAATCTAATCTAATTGCATTTGGAGTCATTTTGGTAGACCAGGCCTCCCCTGAAAGTTTTCTCCATTTGTGGATAATGGATCTTGCTGGGGTTCTCTGGAGTCCCAGATCCATAGAAATGGCATTGTTGCCCTGTTCCAGACTGACAGATGTCAGTGACATTGTTTTGTGAATTGCATGTGTTGATTTTTTGAGAACTTTTAGCCTACTTCCTGTTCTCAGACAGCTTCTATTAAAGTGATTTCTTGATTTAGGAAGGGTAGTGGTAACCAGGGCTTGGTCGTGGCCAGTGAAAGTCAAATCAACTAAAAATGTGGTTAATCACCATTAATTCATGTCTGGGGAGGGCAATTACTTTTTCAACCTGGGCCTGGTTGGTTTGGTTATTTTTATCCCTTAATAAAAAAAATCATAATTTAAAAACTGCATTTTATATTTAATTTTGTAATTTTTGTCTAATTAGTTATATTTTGGCAAATATCGCAAAAGAAAGAAAAATCTGTTTTTACAGCAATGTAATACTACTGATACAGCTCCTGCTGTTTGGACATTTATGCTGTAAAAAGTAATAATGGGATCGGTGCAGGTTGGAGCTGAAGAAGCGAGGGTGTGTGGCAGCAGCATATGGTCTCTTAGTAATTAATACACACCTCATTATTTCTTGAAGACAATAGATGGATAGCTAGAGTGGAGGTGACAATGAGTGGGGGCAGAAGAGGGTTGGGAGAGGGATGGAGAAGAAGATGATTCTCTTGTTTTTTCATTATATTAATTGTTCCCTCTTATTTTTATATATATATATATATATATACACACACACACCCACACACACACACATATATATCACAGTAGTTTTCAGTCTAAGTAAAGTTTTCAGGTTGTCTTTCAGTGGTCATCTAGTCACCATAGCAACCACAGAGCAGCAGGAGTCCACACTGGACTGTCTCTTTCTCTCTGTGTGTTCTCCATCTGTCTCTTCAGTTTGAATATGGAGTTGGTCTTTCTTCTCACCACTCTCTGTTCTCTCTGTGTTTTCTCTGCACCCAAATGCAGTGAAGAGGATTTCACTTTATTTCTTCACACCACCCTCGCCATGTGGTCTTGTTCATCCATCTCCTTGGCTCTCGCATAGCCCGTCCTCTCTCTGCGTCACGCTGTCTGTCTCTGCCTGTCAAAAGACAGTCCTGTGGCAGGGTGGTAGAAAGTTGGCAATCAAACCTCATGTGAAGTGTGCGGTTGCCAAACATATCAAAGCTCTGCGCTGGAATATTCACGAGTCTCAGATAATCATGAGAGCGCCAAGCTTGTCTAAAGGGACAGGAATGGCCTATGTCATGCAAGACATTGCCCCTTATTAGTTTGTTTACATCTTACTTCAAACCGTCTTCCGGCAAAGGTCTCACTCTCTGAGGTTTTAGCATTCAGACGGGTTTAGGTCAGCATTTTGTGTTTAATCTCATTTATTCAGGCCTCCCAATTCTTTGCACAGCTGTTTATTACAAGACTTTGTCCAGTATATATGGTGCAGTGCAAACTGTGCACTCTGACCAAAAGCTGTGGTTGAACAACCACAAGATCAAAAGTAAAAGAAAAACCCAAAACAAAACGCAAGAAGGCTTATTTCAAAAGTAGCAAAAGAGACCGAAGGGATTTTTCATCAGCCATTAGCTATGGCGGTGTTGTACATCCTGAATAAAGTGTGGGTAGCAAACAAAGTGTTCTGGGTCATAATGTCATTTTCTGTTTGTTGCTATTAAAGGCAGAGGTCACCCACAGAAAAGAGGCAGTGGCTTGAAATATTCAGTTTTTTTTATGTATTTTCTGCAAAGAGAGAACATTTCAGCCGCCTTGTACCATTAGCTACCCTTACCTGCCGTGTAACCCCAGGGCAGACCTTAACAAACAACCCCCCTGAAGCATGTAGTTTACTGTGCATAGAGAAGCTCAGGGTACTTTTAGATTAATAGCGTGCTTAAGTTTGCAAAAGTACAAGCTGTACAAAAACATCTTGAGCAGTCATTTGGAGTTTAATAATAAAAAGGCTGTAATAATTAGCACCTTTCATGTTTTTAGTATTTTATTATTTACTGTAGTTTGAACACCTGATACTCACACTCAGCACACAATAGGCAAGGCAAATTTATTTGTATAGCACAATTCAACAACAAGGTGATTCAAAGTGCTTTACAGAGACATTAGAAACAAAAACAAATAAAAAGCAATAAGATTTTGTTTGGCTCACAGGTAAATATCTGTTATTAAAGTCTTTCTGATGATGCACACTTAGAATAATTTCAGTGTGGAAACTATATGGATATTATTCTCATTTTCATTCATTTCAAACATCTGTTTCATCATAAGATAAAAGAGATAACTGATAACAAGTTTGATTTAATGTGACTTGTTCCTCTAAGAGAATCCAAACCATGAGAACATGATGCCCCCCCACAGCACAACAGAGACATCTGGTCTCCTCACTGTGGGACTTTTGAAAAACATTTTTTTTGTCAACCACTTGATATTTACAGGTTTATGGGTTTTAATTGGTTTTAATGATAATGTGCGTTGTGGCACTAGACAGTGGAGATTATTGTGGACTTCAGGAAGCACACAGCTCCACTCCCCCCCATCATCCTGACTGACACCCCCATCACCTCTGTGGACTCATTCCGCTTCCTGGGTACCACCATCACCCAGGACCTGAAGTGGGAGCCCACCATCACCTCCGTCATTAAGAAAGCCCAGCAGAGGATGTACTTCCTGAGGCAGCTGAAGAAATTCAACCTGCCAACACGGACGATGATGCAATTCTACACTGCAATCATCGAGTCCATCCTCACCTCCTCCATCACCGTGTGGTACCCTGGAGCCACTATCAGGGACAAACAGAGACTGCAGCGTGTTGCAGACTCCCATCTCCGCAGGACCTGTACACCTCCAGGACACTGGGGCGTGCAGCTCGGATCTCAGCTGACCCTTCTCACCCTGGACACAGTCTGTTTGAGGCAGGAGGCTCCGGTCCATTCGCACCAGAACCTCTCACCATAAGAACAGTTTCTTCCCCTCTGCTGTTGAACACATGAACAATAACCGTATGACTGTCCCCACCACTAACACATGACCCTACGCTGTGTTCACTGCATCATTCCATGTTTGGCACTGATCACCACCTGCACTCATGTATATATCATGTATATATCTATCTACTTAGCACTTTTAATTCTTATTCTTATTTTTATTTTCATGTCTATTTAAGTGTAATTTATAACAGTATGTTTGCACTGAAGCACCGCAGCAATTTCCTAATGTTGTAAACCCGCTCAACATTTGGCAATAAAACCCTTTCTGATTCTGATTCTGATTCTAAAATCTGTTCCTTCATGATTTTCTTTTATGATAGCTTTAATGAAATGAAACCATGAGAAGTTCACCCTGTCCTTCACAACTGCTCCTCACTCTGACTTGATTTAATCAAATTGTAAGACAGAGTGTCGAACGGCATACTAATGCTCCTCAGAAATTAACTGCTCTATTGAGAACCTTTGTCAGATAGGAATATGCCCGGTGTTATCGAGATGTGCAGTTGATCTGTCTGCTCACACCAGAGTTCAAGTTACACTGCATCACTGACCTCTCTACCCTGTTTTATCACTATCCCTGCTTTTTGCTTTGTTTCCCCACCTCTTTGTGTTTCTTTGACCTCAAACTTAATATCATTTTGTTCAATAACCAATCCTATGTGCCTTGCACTTTTCTTACATTCTCTTTAATCTTTCATCTGTCGCCCTTCCTGTCTTTTTTTTTCTCTGCAGGCATCAGAGCTGGGAATGCTGTCAGTCTACTACACTTACATCTTCACCTCTCTGGTAAGAAGACGGAAAATGGCGTGGGCGTAACATGTTGATTTCGAGCGCTGTATTAAAATAGTACTTTAATTGATGCTCCTGCCTTGAATGAGTGATTGAGTGGATAGAGCTCTGACAGAGAAATTGTAGAGCCTCGTTTAATCAGGGCTTTACAGGCAGTTTTTTTCTGCTCGTTTAATGTGACTGCAAATTGGAGACCAAGTACAGTTGCTATTCTGGCCTCACTCACTGGGTGAAGTGCACTTCTGGACCAAACAAATAAATATTACTAATTATTATAAGTCATACTGCTGCAACTGCTGGTGTTGTTTGTGCTGCCATTTGTCTTGTAATTATAATTGTAGAAAGCCAGACGGGACCTGTTGAACGAATGAGGAAGTCATCATCATTAGAGTCTTTCTTTGCTTTTTCTGATCAGTCTGGCTGTGACTCATCCATCCTTCCCTCCATTTGGCATTTTCGGGGGGCAAAATGTGGGGTCTCTCTCTCGACAAGTCATCGGTCTATCACATGGGTTGTCTTGCTGCTTTTAAAGCTGGACTTACCTTTTTCCACATGGATTTAATCCCATTGCATTACATACTGTGAAGTGCACAGTTGCTTACTTTGATTATTGTGTTACTTCATTACTAGGTGTTGTATACTGTTTACAGCCACACTGCCTTTAAAAGAGGTGACAGCAGCAAACAGAGAAAGAGCTGAGGAGGCAGCTAAAGTAAAGGCTTCCTCACAAAGATGCTTTCGAAGCAGTAACAGGCTAACAGCTGAATCATTATCACTGAAACGTCTAAGAGGCATTTCTTAAATATTTAATGTCCACTGGGCATGCTTAAAAACAAGCTTTTGCATATTTTGTTACATGTGCTAAAAATGAAAAGGAAGTAATGGCGTTTGGTCACATAAAGGTTAAGGGATCCGTGAAAGTTATAGGACGATCGTAACGAAAGCGGCTTGGAGAAAATTTGATGCTACAGTAAACTTAGAAGATAGCTGCTCCCTAATAGAAATTAATGAGGTTCAAAACACTTTGCTCTAATAGTGCTGTAGAGATTATTCATATCAAGCTGATTTATGACTCATTAGGAGTGGGCTGCTGCCATCTTCATGTTTTCCTCCACAGTCTTTGACATAGTCACTTCTCTTATTGTAACTCTCCTTTCTCTTCTCTCTTTGTTCAGCCTGCTTGTTTTTCTCTTGCCTCCACACCTCAATAAGATCATTGTCATCTGATTCTTCCTTTGTTGCGATCCACTTGCAGACTAGCAGGTCTGCTGCAGAGTGGAACAAAGCACAGATTCATGGCAGATACAAGATGATGACCACAACCACCCTCTTACTACCATTACCACCATTTTCTTTATAAAAAGAAAAGAAAAGAAAAGAAGAAGAAGCAGCTATTGCTTAGTGACAGCATTGTTAATAGTTTCAGCATCATTAAAATGGTCAGCATCGTGCCCCTGGTGTCATAAAACGGGGCGTGTGGAAAACAGAGAGTGCAGCACTCAGCAGACACAACATAACTTAAAATCATTGCTTTTATCGTGCAGGCAAAAGAGTAACAGAAGCAGAATAGTAACTAACTAACTAACTAACCAGAGTACCATAAACTATACACACCACGATGGAGGATGTGACACAATACAGAGAGAGGAGATTGGGGTAGAGTGGAAACGCCTGGGAACGCATCTGAATAGAATCTACCTGAAATGACTCAGGAACCAGAACTGACACTTGACAAATGCAAGATGGGACTATCAAAATAAAACACTAAGTAACACCCAGGCTAAGACATGTGAATTTGACAAGATAGAGAACACAGACGGCCATGTAGACAGAATGCAGACAGACCAAAAAAGACGCAGGACATCACTGGGGAGACCAAAGGTAAACAAACAATGAAACAAGACTAGGACAGACTGGAAATGAAAGCAGAACTAAAAATAAAACAAGAAAAAGTAACACTAGAAAATAAAATACTCAAGAATTAGAACATAAACGATCTTGTACCTTTAATGAAATAAATAACAAGTCCAGAAAAAATCTCAAAATACTGGGTTAAGGACCCAGGACCATGATACCTGTCAGGCTGAGATGTGATGCTGAAGCTGTAAGTGGAGAAAATAGAAGGACGTTTGTGTCCTTAGATGTTGTAATAAGTGATTCATCCTATTTATTGTGCTCTTAATGGCCGTGCCGATTGCGCATTGTGTTCGTCACACACACATACACACACAAATAAAAACAACACAAAAGAGGACGAGAACAACTTCCATTATGTTCCATCGCACTTCATTTCATTGTGCCTGTTTTCCAATCTCACTGTGATAATACATTTCTAAAATAGCAATAATACGCTCAATGCTTGTGTTTTTTTTTCATGTACTTTTTGAAGTATGCTGCCATTTCACAAAGCCGACCTGTGGGGACGTGGAAATGAAAATGTTTATTTACACATCACGGTCAAAGTCGTTTCCAAGTCCAACAGTATTAATTATTTATGTTTATAGTCTCAGATCACAGCAGCAGTAGCTGGCTTGATTTATTTAATTTTTTTTAAATACTATGAACTCAGGTTGATGAAGACACCAACAGCTTTTTCATTCTGCCTTCTCATTTTAAATAGTTTTGTCACCAGCATGTTTTATCACACATATCTAGTCTGCAATAAATAATAAAATGTAATATTGGGTTAATAGTCTGCTACTAAAAAGTGAAAACAAAATTATAAGGAAAAGACCCAAAACATCTCTGTAGCTTACACACACTGACCTGCAAGATAAGTTGGATAGGTGCATAATTGTTCATATTATTATTATTATATTCATTCATCCACTTCATTAGGTACACCTTTCTACTACCCAGTCTCACCCCATTTGTCCTTTAAAGTGCATTAATTCTTTAGGGGTAGATGCAGCAAGGTGCTGGAATTCACTCAGTGCAGGTGTACCTAACAAAGTGGCTGGTGAGTAAATTTTCATATATTTCAATATGAGACTTATAAAAGAATAGACTGAGAAAATAGGTCATTCTTTTTTCACTGATGTTTGAGGAAAGGTGCATCAGTGTTATCCATCTTAATTCCTGGCTTGTTTCACTCTGGATTCTTTAAGTCTGCAGAATCTGCCGAACACATCCTTGATCCTTTCGTGGCGATCACAATGTCGGCAAGGCCTTGTGGTTTCTGTGAGTTTCCCCTCACTGTCAGCTAAGTAAATACATTAAGTCCACATTGACGAAGCAAGAATGTGACTGGTTTCACCAGGAAGAACCTCTCGAAAAAGTCTCACAGCAATAAAATCGCTACTTTAACAACTTTCTGGTTAAATTCACAGTAAAACATAATGCAGAGAAGTGTATCCAGGCAAGCATGTAATTGACACTGTATTTCAGATCCTTTGATTGTATTCCAAAAGACGGTCATATGATCATTTGGCTAGATTGTCCATCCCTAGTTGGCACATGAAACCCCAAAGGGAGCTGTAGATGATAAGTGCTTTTCATTTATAACTTGTTTAATTTATTAAAAGTGAAATAACTTCTAAATATGTATTTTGGTGATAGCTCTTGAACCACAGGCACATGTGAAGCAAGACAGATGATAAAGATAATTGTGGTAGAGTCAGTAATATCTGGTATGTATGTACAGGTGGTATGTTCATGTTCATGGGTGTGAGAATGCACAGCGTATATGTGTGTACTCTCCTTATTATCTAAAAATAATATCCAAACATCATCTGTACCACTTTTTGTTAACCCTCAGCCGTAAAAAGCTGATGGAGTATTTCTAAATTGAGATCATTTGTGCGTCTACTTAAAATCTCAAATGTTTTGAATTCTCAGTGATCTCGACCTCAAGGTTATGAGGTCGAGAGCAGGTCAGGTTTTTTGAAAAACCAGTAAATGAAATGACTCAAGAAGGAAGTCAGCTAGGACTTGAACAGTCATACAATAGGTGCATTTACTAAAAATCTTGGACAAGTTTCAGTCCCAGTGGCCTTGACCTCGAGGTCAGAGGTCAACTTGTGATGATTTCATTCATTTTTAATCAAACATAAGCTGAGGGCAGTTTTTACTGACTGCATGTGTTTGATATGCTGCACTGGCAGCTTTATGTTTTTGAACTCTTCATCCATAAAAACATTCACTCAAGCCTCAAAGACCAAGGTCACAAATCATATTTTTGGCGATAACTCAAGAACTTAATTATGACAATATTACACACAGATGTAAAATATGATAAAACGATGAAGCAATGACATTTTATCTCCAAACGTTGAAAAGTCAACAACTGAGGCCTGATAATACTGGCAGAGGCATACAACCATGAGTGAATTAGCAACAGCTTTTTTATGGCGATGGCCTTAGATTCTGGTGATCTTTAGTTATCCTGTGCAGGCAGATCGTTTCACCCACTGATGATACTTGAAATTATGCAAAAACAAAAGCAAAGTTCAAATGTGTCGCTAACCTAGAACGTAATCTAAAACTGTGTCTCTCGAATGGGAACATTTAATATGTCTTTTGATCAAAAGAACATCTAATCTGTCTAAATTGCTGTCAAGAGTTTTCAGTTTGGTTATGCGCATAATTGCACGGTGGAGCAAGTGAAAGTTAATCAGAGGGTTTGCAGTTTTGTGTCAAGTGAAAAGCAGTTGCTCAGAGTAATGCTGATTGGGAATTAGCTTCTACAAGGGTGCATGATGTGGTGGCCTCGCTGATCACGCAACTTTGCGTATTAGTATTTTAAAGAGGTCTTGTGTCCTGATAAATAAATCTGCATTTCTAGATGTTTTTGCCAAAAAAAGTAAATCCTGGTTAATTGAGGTAACCTGCTGTATTAAGTCACTGCCCACTCGTCTAGACAACAGAGGCAGTGCTGAAACTAGATGGCAACAAGCAAATGAGTTTGGAGCGTCGCTATATAAATATTGTAATAACATGACACGTTAACTGGCTAATGGACTCTGAGCTGAACATAGAGTTGGGCATTTTTTAAATAG